ATGCATGCATTCTTATATATATGAACCTATAGATGCTCACATCGGGTGCATGCAATCATAATATACAAATAATTATTCATAAACACGTATATCACTATATTAACTCTTAATCATATAATCAACATGTTCGTGTATTTCAAAACAAGTTAAGAACTTGTTTAAAAAACTCATACGCTACTTACTTTATTTCGAGCTCCTCTTTCTTGTAGTGTATGCCTAAAAGAGTAATTCATTAGTCTCTCTCAGTTTGACCTATATTTAACAATTTTCAAGAGGCAATCTTGTTATAACAAGTCCTAAACGGAACAAATCGAGAGCCAAACAGAGCCTTCACGTGCCAACTTTTTTTGCCTCACGTGCTTGTAACTCGCTCAGTCGCAGTCTCCCACGCACACCTTTTTCCTCGAGACTTCCTGCAAATTCCTTTTCTGTCCCTGCTCAAAAATATCATCTTATGCATCGAATTTCAGCACGATTCCTTCTACAACTTTGTAGATTTCATTATTGTGACTCTATCGAGTCCCGTTTCATAACCTATTATCCAATATATATCAAGTTATCGAGATTTAAAGCTTTAAAAAAATATGAATTTTTAGTTCTCCAAGAACAGCATAAGACACTCGAGTTTCCTTCACAAGGAGCTTCCACGAACTTTCTTCAAATTTTTTAAATTGATTAATTTATTTATTATCATTATTATAACACAACCAAACAAAATTTGTTTTGCCTATAATTTTGTCTTTACTATCATTACTACATTTACATATATATAAATAATATATATATATAAATAATATATATATATAATACATACATAGAATATTACAATTTTTTCCCTCCTTTAAGAAACTTTCTGATTCCATAAATAAATGTCAATGGATAGAATTGAAACTTGAAATCCTCTTGTTTTCTAGTAGCTTCCTTTACTAGCTCGTTTTTCTACCAAACTTTAATAAAGGAAATGTCTCTACTACGTAAAGATTTCGCTTTCCGTGCTAAAATTTTAAGAGGTTGTTCTTCGTAGCTCAGATCCTCTTTCAATTGTAAGTCTTTGTAAGGAAGAACATGTGCGGAATCTTCAACATATTTTTGTAGCATCAAAACAGTATTGAAACATGAAAAACGTTGTGTACTGACTCTGATGCGGATTTGTACCCTTTATGAGAAAATTTTACCAAATATAGGTAGGTATCCCAACCACCAGAAAAATTTAGTATACAAGCACGTATTATATCTTTGATAATCAGATTCAGTCTTTCTGCCTACCCATATGTTTAGGGGCGAAACGTTGTACTGAACTTTGGTTGTGTATCAAGTGCCTCCTGAAGACTTCTCTAGAATCGAGAAGTAAGTACAATTGTGCTCAATTATCAACTGAATATGTTGACTTCCCTAGTATAAGATGAGTTGTCTTAGTTAGTCTATCCACAACAACCCATATCACCGTAAATTCCGACCAGGTTCTAGGTAGTCCTGTAATAAAATTCATGGTCACTTCTTCCCACTTCCAATGGAGCACGTTCAGAGGTTACAGTAATCCAACAGGTTTCTGTCTAGGTGCCTTAACTTCTGATAAGTTAAACACCTAATGACATATTCAGCAACGGCCTTCTTCAACTGCTACCAAGAAGTTGAAGAAGGACGTTGCTGAATATGCATTTTAAACTACCATCAACGGTTACCCAAACCACAAAAAACATATGCATTTTAAACTACCATCAACTGCTACCAAGAAATTCTTAGCTCGCTCAGCCTCTAGAACAACTATTTGAGCTCGTTCAAACTCCGTTTGAATTTTAGTTTGTCTTGTTAGCAATAAAGATGAGTGTGCTGTTGTATGACTCAAGGCATCAGCACATTAGCTTTGTCAGGATGATGCAGGATGTCCATATCATAATTTTTCACTCGCTCCAAACATAGTCATTTCCTCCTATTTAGCTCTTTCTATGTGAATGGATATTTGATTTGTCAGGGTGATGCAAGATGTCCATATCATAATCTTTCAATAGCTCCAAACATTGTCATTTCCTCATATTTAACTCTTTCGGTGTGAATAGATATTTGAGGTTCTCCCTCACGTGTACTCGCTCAGTCACACACGCCAGTCACAATCTCCCACGCACCCCTCACGACTTTCTGCAAATTTTCAACTTTTATATTAATTCCTTTTATGTCCCTGCCCAAAAATATCACCTTACACCCAAAATTTCATCTCGATTCCTTCTACAACTTTGTGGATCTCATTATCGTGACTCTATCGAGCCCTATTCCATAACCTATTACCCACATACATCGAGTTATCAAGATTTAAAGTTTTGAAATTATGAATTTTTCGAGTATGTTCTATAGCTCCTCTTCCTCAAACGCGTCAATCCCCCCCACACGTTTTCTTCCCCCTCTTCTTCATTACAGCAGCTGTTCTCTGTTTTTTTTTTAATTATTATTATTATTATTGTTATAACACAACCAGTAACATTTGCTTGCCTTTAATTATGTCGTCACTATAATCATTACATTTACATATATACATACATAGACAAAACATTACACTTGTCTTTTGTTTTGACCTGAAATAAGGAGCATGTGGTTTGGTAACACTATTGAACTGTGTTGAATTATTAACCCCTTTTCCCATTTCCAGCAATGCCGTACACACCATTACAAATAATACTATTTTATTTGTCTTCTAGCTGCTTCATGCCTATATAAACGCCCCACCCCTCAAACCCCAAGTGCCTCAGCGTTCAAGTTCAAAGCTACAATCAAACGAACTTATAGAACAGAGAAAAGAACAGGGTTCTTGCAAATGGGGTCGGCCGTAGTAGTCTCGATTCCTGAAGAAATTCAGGACCAAAGAGTTACCGATGACGTCCCCGTTGATCAGAACAAGAACAAGAACAAGAACAAGACGGCAGCTGTGAACAAGTTTCGTAACTTGTTTGACTCGACTCGAGACAGAATAAAGAAACAAGACATGAAGAAAATTTTCCATAGCATTAAGCTTGGGATTGCTTTGGTTGTTGTTTCACTTCTTTATCTCCTTAATCCTCTTTATAAACAAGTTGGAGATAATGCAATGTGGGCTATAATGACCGTTATTGTTGTCTTTGAGTTCTATGCAGGTAATTCATTCACTACATGCACCAATAATTCAAAAAATTTCTTGGTTTTGACTTGATTTTGGTTTGTTGGTTTAGGAGCTACACTGAGCAAGGGGCTTAACCGAGGGTTAGGCACGATTTTCGGGGGTGGACTCGGATGTTTCGCGGGTTCGTTCGCTCAAGATGTCGGCGGGGTCGCCTGTGCTTCCATTATTGGAGTTTCCGTCTTTGTTTTCGGTGAGTCCTGGTTCTCGTAAAGTCAAATGTTCAATTCTTCATATCTTATTGAACTTGTTTGTTATTTAGGTGGTATTGCGACGTACTTGCGGTTGATACCGAGTATAAAGAAGAAATACGACTACGGAGTAATGATATCGATATTGACGTTTAATTTGGTTGTGGTGTCTGGCATGAGAGAAGAAAAGATTATGGCATTAGCAAGAGAACGCTTGTCGACCATTGCCATGGGATTTGCAGTATGCATTTTCATAAACCTTCTCATCTTCCCTGCTTGGGCTAGCGATGAACTGCATCACTCCACCGTCCAAAGCTTCCATAACTTAGCCAATTCCATTCAAGGTTTCTTTTTCTTCTTCATTCCACCATAACTAGCTATGAAAATAAGAACTTAAAGCAATAGAATTCTGTTTCTCAGGGTGCATGGAGGATTATTTCAGCTCAGCTGATGACAAGAAGAAGAACAAATCTGATGCAAGTTTCAGCTCTTGTAAAGCAATTTTGAACACAAAATCAAAAGAGGAATCATTGGTACAAACAAGTTTCCATTGTTGTTGATGTAAATTTCCATGAAGTAATGATCTTGAACAGAGATTAACTGTTTCTCAGGCTAATTTTGCCAAGTGGGAGCCATGGCATGGGAAGTTTGGGCTGAACTATCCATGGAATAGATATCTACAAATTGGGGAGGTTCTAAGAGAGCTAGCAGCCACTGTTCTTTCAATCAAAGGCTGTCTTCAATCACCAAGACAGGTATGAACATGAAATGCAAAGCTTAATGTTTCCAAAATTTGATGGGTTTTGTTGGAAAGTTTGATTAAGTTTGGTGTTTGGAATTTTGGGAGCAGCCCACATCAGGGATGAGAGAGGCGATCAAGGAGGCATGTGAGATGGGCGGATCGTCCATTGCATGGGCGCTGAAGGAGCTTGGAGAAGGTATCAAGAACATGAAAAGGTGTCAAATTGAGGGTGTCATAGTGCCTAAATTGAAGCTGGTTAGGCAAGAAATGAGCGGTTTAATCACTCCATCAAAGCTTGGAGTGATTGAGAATGGTGATGAATTGGCAATGGCTAGCTTTGTGTTCTTAATTATGGAGATTTTGGAGAAGGTCGAAGAAGTCGCAAGAGAGGTTGAGGAACTAGAGGAGGCTGGTCGATTCCGTACCACATGAATCTTCATTGTTTATTGTCTATGTTTATGTTTTTATTAGTGTTATGTATATAATGATTTCCAATTTTTTTGGATGTAGTTTAAAAATATACTTATAGAATTCTTCAAGTTTGAGCTTAGTAGCATTTTTGGTTCCCGATGTTCATGTTCGTTTTCTAATTAAAAGAAAGAATATTTTTCAGATTCTTTATTCTTTTCCGCTCTTTCCTTTCTCCTTCTTCGTCCGTTACAAAAATGAATGGATACCATATATGTAATGAAAAAGTCCTAAAAAAGTATTGCTGAGAGGGAAAGGTGGGGCAATCATTAGAAGAATGAAAAGAGGAGAGAGAAAGAAAAACATTTTAAATCAATTTATTAAAAATATAATATATACATATTTTACAAAAAAAAAAAAAAAATTAATATAAGAGAGAACTTTGCCAACCTTCTACGCCTTGAGATCAAGACCTGTTTGAATATAGTTCGATCAGAGAATAAGAGAGAACTTTGTTTTAGAATATGTTCGATTAGAGAATAAGTCAGAGAGCTCTCGATCATATTCCAATGCTGCCATAACAATCACATCACAAACAGCATAACTATAGTTAGAAACTTAAGACTTCAATGGCCCCAAAAGTCTTCTTCTTTATTGGTTCACCATATTGAGGATGTTCATATTATGATCTTGAGAATAAGAACAGCTGCATTGTTTAATATTAAACTGAAAAGGAGAAGGAGAGCCCTTTTCAGAGTGGAAGCAACACATTAAGTGACAATGGAGTTGCAGGCCATTTTCATTTTGCCTTGGCTCTGCGCACTCCCATCACAGCCTCAAGAGCCAAAGATGGATCCATTTTAGGAAGTGCAGGGATGGCCGGCTTGCAGACTGAAAACCAGAAGAAAATTCAAGCTGGATCAATAGAAAAAGTAGGCATCTTTTTCAGATATTCAAATCCTTAAAAGTAATAACGCAACCCTAAGGGAGGAAGGTGTTAGGACAACGAATCTTTGTGTATCTTCACAATATTAAAATATTGCGTTAATGGTTGTGCTTTCAAACCTAACCTCACTCCACTTAGTTTCGTTTTTTAATGGAGATGTAGTTTTTACCCATATGTTCTTGATCTCTCTCGTTTTTAACAAACGGGGTGTCTCTAACAATTTTCGTCCTAAACAAAGGGCCACCGAACCTTCCTTCAAATGGTTTTCTATTCAAGTTCTAGTTAGTAGAGTCCAACTATAGATGTTATTGCATGTGATAATCTTACAACTTTTGATTCACGTAAAGTCTTTGAAACCCGTCACAGTTAGTAAAGGTAGTTTTTGTTTTTGGTTGAGTCTTGACTTGAAACACTTGATTTTGAAGGAGAAAGACTAATATCCTTTTTACCGAGTGAAAGAAGCGAGAGGAAAGAAAAGAGCTACTTTTCCCTCGTGAAAGAAGGGAGACGAAAGAAGTCGAGGTTCAGGTTTTCGGTTGAGTCTCTCTTTTTTTCTTATGATTTAGAATTGTAAAGGAGAGAAGACAAAGATAGAGTTAAAGAACAGTTTTCAACAAAGAAGAAGAGGAGTGAAGCAATGAGACCGAAGGGAGAGGAGCTATTATCGATATAATTGAAGAAGCTGTAGAAGAGCACCACCATAGTTCAGGTCCTGGCACATGGGAGATTAATTCAATTGCAAAGATCGTGAATCAAGCCATTCACGAAGCGCTACTCCACTACTCAAGATAAAGATAAGGGTTCATGATTTAGTTTTGAGATATTACAACATTTTACATTCAACAACTCCCTCACTAACCTTATAATGCTTTGAAAAAACTGTCAAGATAGTTGTGAATGAGGTACAAAGGCATATCACTTCAGATTTGAGATAAAAGTGAACGAGGAAGTGGGGAAGTATTGTTTCCTTAAACGATAGAACTTGAACTTGAGTGCTTTCCAAAGGCAACAATCCCTAGACTACTGCCGGTTAGTGAGATCTATCAACCTCTGGCTATGACAATAGCTTTGACTTGACTATTTTTCTGAAGTAAAATCGTGAATAGAACTCATTGTTTTCCCCTTCGAAAACTAAGACAAAGATGTGACCTTAAGGAAGAGACCAATGGCAAAGGAATCAGTCATAGCCACAGAAAAAAACAGAGGCAGCGAGATCGACAAGTTCTTGTTTGATTCGCCACCCAAGTTTCCCTCTTCAATTTGTCAATTTTCTAGAAGGTGAGGGAGTCACTTGTCTAGTCTTGCGGTTTTAGTTGAGATATTGATCTTACGAGGAACGATCTTGCTGAGCTAAAAGACAGAAGACATACATCAAAAATCGTTTAGAACAATTACTAGAATTGGACAAAAGCAAGAAAATAGATAGGGATGGTTGGTTGTCCATGTCCACTATGGTGCTGAGTGTTCCAAACATTGGAGTCAAGTTGGTTTTGTGCAACTCCAAAATTTTCACGCAGTGTGAGATCTTACGTCAACTGGGAAAGAGAACAAAACATTCTTTATAAGAGAGTGAAAACTTCTCCCCAGCAGATGCGTTTTAAAAACCTTGAGAGGAAACTCGAAAGAGAAATCTCAAAGATCACAATATCTACTAACGGTGGGCTTAGACGGTTACACAATGAGTCTGGATTACGTTCTAAAAGAATGGGAGAGTTCTAATTCCCATTAGAAAAAAATATGATTTCCACAACATATCTCCTTATACTAATTCCTTCGCCTATGGACATGCTTCCTGCAGCAAGAATCTCACAACCTCAGACTGCACCTCTTGATCTTTGTGCTGCTAAGACCAACATGTTGGGATCGTGTCAAATGAGGATTGGGGGTCGTGCAGTGCTCCATGACAGTGCAATTAGGTATGAGGAATACCCATTTGATGATTAGAGACTAGTGTGGTGAATGTTATTGCCTCTTTGAAATGCACTTGTTTCACTTCCTTGTCTCTTTTCTCCTGTCTTTTCAATCTTAAATGAAGATATCAGGACGCTGATTGGTGCTTTCCTATGACATGATGCTCAAAAAAGCAAGAGGAAGTAGTGTTAGATGCATTGTTGTTAAATCAAAGCAGAAGTGTCGAGTTCAATGTTGGAGTTCCTATAGTCTCACAAACCCAGAATATTCAGAACTTCGAACAAAAGGCAACACTAGTCATCATTGAAGGGGCCGTCTTTTTCTTATTTCGGATGCAATACCCAAATTGTGTGCGCAAAGACAGAAAGAATGTAACAGTGTAAGTTCACCGCTAGCAAATATTGTACGTTTTGGCCCGTTATGTATCGTCGTCAGGCTCACGGTTTTAAAACATATTTACTAAGGAAAGGTTTCCACATTCTTATAAAGAACGTTTTTTTCCCCTCTCCAACCAACGTGGGATCTCACAATTCACCCCCTTTGGAGGCTAGTGTCCTTACTTGCACATCGCTCGGTGTATGGCTTTGATACCATTTGTAACAGCTCAAGCCTACCACTAGTAGATATTGTCTTCTTTGGCCCGTCGTATTGTCATCAACCTCACGGTTTTAAAACGCGTCTATTAGGGAGAGATTTCCACACCTTTATAAATAATACTTTGTTCCCCTCTCCAACCGATGTGGGATCTTGCAAAAAAAGCTTCAAAAGCTCTTGCTTGTTGAGGATTGTTGGTGGGAGTCCCATATCCGCTAATTAAGGAATACATCTTCATTGGTATAAGGTCTTTTGGAGAAACTAAAAGCAAAGTCATGAGAGCTTGCACTCAAAGTGGACAACATCATACCGTTATGGAGGTCCGTGATTCTAACATTGCTTTGATCGTGTTATTCAACAATTCAGCCATAATCACTTGCATTGCTGTCTCCCCAGTCCATCTTTTTTGTCCCTACGGATGAACCAACAATAAAAGGAAACTTGAAGACAAATCAAACGATGGAGGTGCTTTCCAAACCCTAAATGGGCTATAACGGATTGTAGTTTGGTTATTCCTTCTCACCATTTATCTTAAGAACACCACCAAAAGTTGGCACGTGAAGATCTTAAAAAAAGAAAAAAAGGGAGCATCTAATGGCATTAAAAGCTAGTTCTAAAAAGCTCATAGCTCCAAAATGGATATTGATATCATAACCGGAGTGGAAGGAGGATGCAAGTGGCATCAATCGAGCCGGGTGTGGGCGTGCAGCTAGACCACCGAATAATGTTCAACAAAGATATTACACATTACCATGTAAAATACTCCGTCTAAGTCAACTTCTTCCGACATTGTGATGATAAGGCCAATAAGTCCCATCACCCAAATAGCATTTGATACTATCTAATATAATTATCAACTCTTTCAACAGACAAGCCTTTGTTCCTGTCAATCTAATCTTCTAAAGTGAGTATTTGGTCTCTAAGAAAGCTCATATGCAGGGGATCTGATTCGGTTCATTTCTATACAAAGCCGCATTGTCACAAACCCATCACATTAAACAAGTAAAACACCTTATTTCTTATAAACAATTCGTCGAACAGGTAATCCGCATACTTCAAAGCTTGTTGTTAGATTTACAGGAGTCAAAACAAGCACATTCAGAAACTGCCGGAGAGTAGGAGTAGGCACTAAGTATGAAATTAAGAACTGAATCACTTTAATTCAACTAAAAACTAAAATGGTCTAGTACTGACCTTATAAGATACGGAGGAGAAGATGTAAAATTCAAACTTTCATACCGCCACAAGATGATGCGACTTCAAGCATTGGTACTTCGATCGTCGTCCGATTGTAAGTGATCAGATTGTTTATCGAGAAGGTCGTCGGGATCCCGAGTCGGATCAGAGTTGTCCATGGCGGAGCGGGCCTTATCGAGGAAGGGCTTGAAGGCGATCTCAATGGCTAGCCAACCCAGTGCCAAGGCTCCGAGGATGAAAAATGCTTGCTTGGACCCAGACGGTTTCTTTCCCATGGTTCTTGTTGTGGCAGCGCCGACTAGGTGTCTCAGAAGCAGAGAGCTCCGACTGCTCTTTCTATTTTCCAGGAACGATGAACAAAATATTAGATAAAATGACTCAAATTTTTTACTAATTTTTCCTATAAAATATATTATAATAATGAATTATGAAATATATTTTATATTTTCGTAATAATTTAGTAGTATGTTTTATTTTATTCCCCTTATTTTTATATTCCATCTCACTCATATTTTTCATTTTTAACCCTTACAAAATTAACTTTTCAATATATTTATAAAAAAAAGAGTAATTAATATGTGTATTGAAAATAAAATAAAAATTGCTATGAGTTTAATAATACAGATAAGAAAATTGTACTGAAAAGAAAAAAAAAATTGTTAAAAGGCTTTATTTTATCTAAACTAATGGGTTAATGAATTTTTAGATTTTTTTTTTGTTAAAATTAGTAATTTAATTCGTAAAAATTAAACAGTGAAAATATTTGCAGCAGTTAATTCAGTTCTGAGACCAATTTGGTGAAAGTAAAATTTTTTAGGAACCTAGTTCTTACGGGGTGAAATTTGTTTGTTACAAATATATATAATCAAATATTATTTGATTGTTAGACGAACACGACTCTCCCACTTTGAGCATAAGATTTCGTGGCTTTGCTTTGGGCTTCCCAAAAGACCTCATCCCAAAGAGAGTATATTCTTAGATTATAAACTCATGACCATTCCCTAACTTAATCGGACACTTTCATCTAACACGGATGACTTTATTATAAATGAAAATAAAATTAATTAAATTAAAAAGTTAATCCCTTTTCTTAGTATAAAATATTAACCCATACTCATGTCTTCTTAAAACACATCCAAAATCATCCTAATTTATCCTGATTTTCAAGTAATCCTCCAATATATTTTTCCTTCAAATCTTATTTTAAAAAAAGTAGCAGAAAAGACAGTGAGGAAATATATGAATTGATGAAGATATTTTGATAAAATCTCTTCACCCGTGCATTATGAACTATTCAGTGAATACATACAGTAAATATGAGATCTCACATCAATTAGAGATTAGAGAAAAGAATACAAAGCATTCTTTACAAGGATATAAAAAAATTTCCCTAACACATTTTAAAAATCTTGAGAAAAAATCCAAAAAAGAAAGCCCAAAAAGATAATATATCCTCGTATTGAACATGGGAAAGTTTAAGAAAGCATTTTAAAAATCTTAGAGAAAAAATCTAGAAAAGAAAGTTGAGAGAGAACAATATCTGATGACAATGAGAAGTTCAAGAAGCGCAGGTCCAAAGCCGCCGTACAGACCTCAAAAGTGAACGAGTTGTGAAGAGAAAGCAAATGGAGGAAGAACTCTAAGGAAGTCTTACAGAAATGACTTGACACAATAGTCTTTTATTGTAACCAACTTAAGTACTGCATGACTACATCTATCAAAGTTGAAGATAAGAGACGAGATTCCAATCTAGAGACATGCCAGAGTTTGATCATTGTGATGATATTAGAGTGTAAATCAATAACAGACCCCAGGCACCAAAGAAACATAGTAAGGCTACGTCAATCATAGAAAAACAACTGGATAACGTTGTAATAAACACATGAGATTGAGCAGTGAATTGCTATACCGTCACTAAATTCAGAATCCTTCGCTACAATACAAGTGTTTACACTACCGGTCTCAAAACTTGAAACAACTGCAACAAATCTAGCGTCCACGACCACGACCACGCCCACGTCCACGTCCTCGTCCACGTCCCATAGGCTTCCCTGTAGTTGCAGTAGAGTGTAGAAATGCATAAGCAACACATTTGATAATGGGTAGAGCATATAACTCAGCATACACAAGTTCACTTGCAGAAAATGACCATAAGTACAGGCATGAATACAAGGACAACACGTACCTGCAATTGGTTTCTTCGGCTTGACCCTCGGTGTCTCTTCAACAAGTAAAGTCTCGAGATTCAAGCTATCAGGTAGAATATAATATCTGATGTTGTTGCCCCTCACACTTAAATGATCCATGGTGACTGGATTTTTACCCTTTAGAGTAAGCTTCACAGCCTTCAAATGTGTATTCATGCTGATATCCACACCTATGAAACACAAGAGAATCACTCAAAATCAACCAAACAGTGATTCCTCTTAACGATAATAGTAGTGACGTTAAAGATATCACTTTAGAGTTTATGTTTAGGTGCAATTGACATGAATGATCTAAGAAGCACAGATACAAGACAATGACATAAACACTGAGACACATCAAATTCTTAAAATGTAGGACACAAGCACCTTGGGGACATGTTTTTTTATATAAAATATGTGTCGATATAGGTATATTAGTCTGTTTTTTTAATAGATAAAATGTGAATTAAACATAAAAATAAAATAAGCTTCACTAAAAGCATCCATAGTTGAGTCAATTAACAATATTTGAAACCTTAAAACATATAAAAAGATTAGTTGGCTGCAAGAGGATGAACATGTCATCCTAATACTTAGGATTGATCAATATTTAAAGATTCAATCTAAAAGAAAATCTCAAAATTTCCCCTATTTTATGGGTTAAATATTATCTAGAGGTGTGTCTAGCCATGTATAGCATGGCCAAAGCATATCCGGACATATGTGTCCATGCTTCATAGTTTTTTTTTTTTTTTTTTTTTTTTTTTTTTAACTTTTTATGATTACTAAGTTTGTTTATCAATACTTGGTAAAAAAAAATTAATTAAATTAGAGTCTTATGCTTCATACCACCTTGAGGCTTTCACCTCACCTCCACCGGAGGAAAAGTCTCAAGGCTGCCTTTAGCTTTTTAAAACATTGTTTATAATCTCAGTTGACATCCTCCCACAAAAGAGGTAACCAACTAAAATTATGAAATTGAGTCCCAACTCTCCCATAAAGGCATCTTGTGAGAAACGACTCTGTGAGTAAATAACTAGTTTCAGTAGCAGCCGCATAGAGAAATACGTTAAATGGAAGCACCAAATAAAATGGAGTTGGACTTTCCTTCCATTGGCTCTTTCCGGAAGTAGAGAAAATAACATCCTACTTCTTAATGCAATCTAATCAATATTCACCAACTCCTGAGGCACCCATTAAAAGGGAGTTGGACTTCCCTTCCATTGGCTCTTTCCAGAAGTAGAGAAATAACGCCCTCATTCTTAAATGCTTAGGGAGAAGAGTGATTGTTGGCAACAAGGGGTTAAACCAGAAAGATAGGCAAGGAAGCCTAAACCAAAACCATAGGTAATATTGGGGGATAATTGTGGAGTGCTTGCTCGCTCTTTTCATAGAGAAATTGGTAGTTGTATAGCCTTTATAGGAAACATTGATACGTTTCAATTAGAAGCTGGCCAAGACTGGTAGAATACATTGATTCATTCAACTGCTTCTCCTCTAAATCACTTTCATTAAACTCTCTATGACCTTGCTAAAGCTGAAAACTCCTTTGGGTAAATCAGTTTGGAAGTTTGACGTCCCCAGGAAGGTTAATATGATTGTGTGGTCACTTACTTAAAGAAGCCTCAACTCCCCAAGCGGCTCAAAAAAAGTTCCAAAATTGGGTTCTCTCCCTGGTTTGTTCCTCTGCTATTCCTATGATGAAACCCAAAATTACCATTACCTCCACTGACCTTTTTCTATAGGAGGTGGTCTTTCATGTTCAATGAGCCTGGTTTCTGTTTATGCCAACCCAGCTTGGTTGACGATTTTCCTTGGAAGCCCTCACGGCCTGATGGCTTAAATTTAAGGCTAAGATCTCTTGGAATTGTCCTTCTATGGATTCTTAAGGAAAAAATAATCTATTATAGATTCTATTTGTAATGTATCGCAAACATTTTACAATGGTTATTCAAATACAAGATATTCATATTCTATTGTAATCAGTGTTTTTTAAAGCTCAGGGAACAATAGCCTTATGTCGTGCAAGGTGCAAAAAAATAAAAAAGCAAGACCTTTCTTTTGTAATGTGCACTATATATAATTTTTTTATTAATTAATAAAGAAGAAAAACACTAAATGCAAGGGTTTTTGCATTTAAGGATGGTAACTATTATTACGTTTCAAACGATGAAGAAGACAAAACCCAAAACGCAAGGATGGCATATATCATAATGCACCGAAGAATGGCATATGAGCAACACAATCCAAAAATACTGGTGTTCAGCAGAAGTTAGTTTTTAATCAGACTAAGTTGATGCCATTCTACTGCATGTGAAAAACAGTTCAAGTTAAAAGTTGAAGTATATTCACTTGGTTTAAGAAACAACCCCTTCAAAACAAAGGGGAAAGAAGGAATGGTAGGAATCAGTCCATATAAAAGTGAGAGGGCATTTAAAAGATTTGTTTAAATCTACTGATATGCCATGAAATAGAATGGACATTCAGCATCAGTAGACAGTAGTCAATAGTTCAAATTGATTTGTTTGTTAAGAATGATAAAAATAAAAACTATACAGAGAAAACACCGCATCCTCCCAATGCTTAGATGACAAGGAATTTAGTTGCCCGTAAGCAACCTATGAGTTTAATACTAGTTTTTTTTTTTAAATGATGAGAGTTGAAGATCCCACGTCGGTTGAGGAGGAGAACGAAGCATTATTTATAAGTGTAAAAACCTCTCCCTAGAAGAAGCGTTTTAAAAACCTTGAGAAGAAGCCCGAAAGGGAAAGCCCAAAGAGGACATTATTTGCTAGTGGTGGACTTAGATTGTTACAAATGGTATCAGAGCTAGAAATCGGACAATGTGGCAGCAAGGAGGCTAAGCCTCGAAGGGGGGTGGATTGGGGGTCCACATTGATTGGAGAAGGGAACGAGTGCCAACGAAGACGTTGGGCCCCCGAAGGGGGGTGGATTGTGAGATCCCACACTGGTTGGGAAGGAAAACAAAGCATTCTTTATAAGGGTGTGAAAACTTCTCCCTAGCAAACGCGTTTTAAAAACCTTGAGAGGAAGCTCGAAAGGGAAAACCCAAAGAGGACAATATCTACTAGCAGTGGGCTAGTACTATTTTTTAAGATTCAAAATGGGAGTGGGATAGCGGTTCTCCAAGCGCGCGCTTGCCAGAACTCTTCAGTTAGCTTTC